GGGGGGGGGGGGGCGGACTCCTGGGCTCCCCAGGTCCCCCCTCCCCCGCAACCCACATGTGTCAGGAGCTGTACACCCCCCCGCCCCAATGACCCCATTCCAGCCCCCACTGGGATCCTCTGCCGGAGCCGAACCAGGCCAAGGAGAGTGGGGGGTGCTCCACTGGCTCCCTTCCCCCGCCCTGAGGCAGGCCCTGCCCCTGGAAGGAGGTGGGGGCAGTCTGCTGATTTCCTCCCCCTGTGACTGCCCCCCCCCCAGGACCCTGCTGGGATTTTTGAGTTGGTAGAAGTCGTCGGCAATGGGACCTACGGGCAGGTCTATAAGGTGAGACCCTCCCGCCAATTTAAATGCCTCAGTCCATCCTCCCCCCCGCCCCCGCCCCTGCCTGCAGACCCAGAAGCCTGAGTCCCTTCGGCCTCTCCAGGCCCCTCATGACTGTAGCTGCCCCTCACGGTCCTTGTCACATGGCTCCCACGGTGTGTGCTGCAGGCTACGGGAGCAGGGCAAGAGGGGACGGGAGCCTAGGTTCTCTGGGAGGGGACGGGAGCCTGGTGGGGAGGGGCTGCACACCCAATGCCTGGGCTCCCCACCGAAAGCCAATGGTGGGGGACAGCCATGGAGCTGGGGTTCCTGGGAGGGGAGTGGGGTCAGGTGGCCCACTGCCTTCCCCCATCTGATGCCCTCACCCCCTAGGGCCGCCATGTCAAGACAGGGCAGCTGGCAGCCATCAAGGTCATGGATGTTACTGAGGTACGAAAAGGGGGCTGCGGGTCGGGAGTGAGGGGCACCGGCAGGGCTGGATGGACAGGGGCTGCGCGTCGGGAGCTGACCCCTTGGCCCCCCAGGACGAGGAGGAAGAGATCAAGCAGGAGATCAACATGCTGAAGAAGTACTCGCACCACCGCAACATTGCCACTTACTATGGGGCCTTTGTCAAGAAGAGCCCCCCAGGGCATGATGACCAGCTCTGGGTGAGGGCGGGTCCTAAGGGGCTGTTCAGATTGGGCCTGGGGGGAACGGGGGTAGCTCTGAGCCCCTTGGGGGGAAGAGAGGGGGCCAAAGAGGAGCTTGGACCTCCCACAGCTGGGGAGGTGGGGGGTCGAGGGGAGGCTCAGGGGATCCTAGGGTGCCTCCGGTCTGTGACCGACACCCCTCCCCCGGTGCCCCCTCCAGCTGGTGATGGAGTTCTGCGGCGCTGGATCTGTTACTGACCTGGTGAAGGGCTCCAAGGGCCACGCGCTGCGCGAGGACGTCATCGCCTATGTCTGCCGCGAGATCCTGCGGGTGTGTGGGCCCCCCCAGACACCAGGGTTCCCCTGGGGCCCAGATGCCTGGGTTCTACTGGGCAGGGGGAGTGACTGGAAGCCCAGATGCCTGACTTGCCCAGGAGAGGCGGAGAGTGGCAGGGACCACAGCAAAGCCTGTATGCCTGGGACCGTCCTCGCTTTGGGCGGGGAAAGGGGTCTTGGTGCCCAGATACCTGGTTTCTTTGATCCTACTGGGCCTCTGGGGGGACAAGGGATTTCTGGACATCTGGGTCCCTGGCTGATTTCCTTCCCCCCACACTCTTGTAGGGCTTGGCCCATCTGCACGCGCACAAGGTGATTCATCGTGACATCAAGGGGCAAAATGTGCTGCTCACCGAAAACGCCGAGGTCAAGCTGGGTACGGCCCAGATGCCTGGGTTCCCTTCCCCCAGACACCTGGGTCCTGTCCTGTCCTGGCCCCCAGATGCCTGGCTCCTCCCCTGACCCACCCCCCAGATACCTGGGCCACTTCTCTCCCAGATGTCTGCATCTTCTCCTGTCTTGAGCCCTGGGCACCTGGGTCCCTTCCTTGGCTCAGATGAGGGCTTCTCTGGGGGGAAGGGCCAGGGGCGGGGGTAGGGCTGGGGGGCGGGACCTGACTGCCGGCCCTGCCTCCCCCCAGTTGACTTTGGGGTCAGTGCACAGCTGGATCGCACAGTGGGCCGGCGCAACACCTTCATTGGCACGCCCTATTGGATGGCGCCCGAGGTTATTGCCTGTGACGATGACCCCCATGCCACCTACGACTGCCGGGTGCGTCCCTGGATGCCTGGGTTTCCCCGGGTCCCCCCACCTCTCCCTGGGGCCCCCAGATGCCTGGATTCCTCCAGGACTCTCCCACCCCTCCCTGGAGGCTGGGATCCAGCCCCAGATACTTGTGTTCCACCTCGACCCCATTTGTGGGGTGCTCAGGCACTGAGTCCCTCCCGCCCCTGGTCCATTGAGCCATCAGATGCCTTAGAACCCAGGGGGCCGGGCCAATCAATCTAGGCAGCCTTGTGGGGTGGGGGAGGGTGCCAGAAGCTTGGTTTCCCCCTGGCCAGGGCCCAATCTTGACCCCTCCCCATATCTTTCCTCCCAACAGAGTGACATCTGGTCCCTGGGCATCACTGCCATCGAGATGGCTGAGGGAGCCCCCCGTGAGTGTGGGGGGCCCTGGAAGCCTGCGTTCACTGGGAGGGGAAGGGACTGGGGGTGAGAGCAGGGTGGGGGCTGGGAGCCTGGACGCCAGGGTCTGCATGGCTAATGCCCCTCCCTGCCCCTCTGCAGCACTGTGTGATATGCACCCCATGCGTGCCCTGTTCCTCATCCCACGGAACCCCCCACCGCGCCTCAAGTCCAAGAAGTGGTAAGTGGGGGGGGGTCCCCCAGTTCCTCCTCCCCCAACTCTGCAGGTGCCCCTCACTCCCCACCTGCAGCCTGTGCTCCTCACTCCCGATCTGCTGCCCCCCTCCAGGTCGAAGAAGTTCCTGGACTTTGTGGAGACCTGCCTGACCAAGGCCTACACGAGCCGCCCAGGCACCGAGCAGCTGCTGCAGGCACCGTTCATCCGGGACCAGCCCCCTGAGCGCCAGGTCCGCATCCAGCTGCGGGACCACCTGGACCGCGCCCGGCGGCGCCGCGGGGAGAAGGGTGAGGGGCTGTGGGTCGGGGGTGAGGGGTACTGGGGAGGTGGGGGATTGCAAGTTGGGAGTGTGAGGGCCACCACACAATGACCACAACGCCCCCCCTCCCCCCAAAGATGAGACGGAGTACGAGTATAGCGGCAGTGAGGAGGAGGATGATGGCCACGGCGAGGAAGGGGAGCCCAGGTATGGGGGCTGGAGCCTCCTCGAGGAGGGGGGCCTGGCAAGGTGTGGCTTAGTGGGTGGAGCTAACTGGCTGCATGTGGGGCTGGGGCTTGGGTAGGGGTGGAGCCTGGGGCACTGGGTGGGTGGAGCCTCCACAGGCATAGGTGGAGCTTGTGTAGTAAGTGGGGCCTGGATTCTGGGCTATGAGCAGAGCCTGAATGGCCCAGGTGGGGCTCAGGAGGCAGAGCTTATGAGGCTTATATCAAGGGGGTGGGACCCTGCAGGAAGGTGGGTTGGTGTGGGTGTGGCTGAGGGGTAGGGCTTCCTCAGGGGGTGTGCCCCCACTGGCCCCACCCCACCCCCAGCTCTGGCTCCACCCCCAGCTCGCTGATGAATGTCCCTGGGGAGTCGACGCTGCGCCGTGAGTTTCTGCGCTTGCAGCAGGAGCACAAGGGGGGCGTAGGGCCCGGGCCTGGTCCTGCTCCTGTGGCCCCGCCCCCACCGGGTCCTGCCCATGACCCCGAGGCCCATGTGCAGCGACTCCTGCTGGAGCGGCAGCAACGCCTGGGTCAGCAGCGTGAGGAGCGCCGGCGCCTTGAGGAGGTGGGTGGGGCCCTGATGCCTGGGGTTCTCTGCTGGGGGGATGGGAGCTGGATGCCTGGGTTCTCTGGGGGGGTGACAGCAGAGATTCTGGGGCCTAGACTCCTGGGTTCTCGGGGCGGAGGGAGGCCCAGACCCCTGGGTTCTCAAAGTCCCTCTTCTCCTCCTCTCCTGCAGCAGCAGCGCCGGGAGCGGGAGCAGCGGAAACTACAGGAGAAGGAGGCACGCCGCCGGGAGGGGGAGCGGCGCCAGGCTGAGCGCCAGCAGGTACAGACCTGCCTGGTCCCCCCAGACCCTCTCCAGGCCCCCATAAGATCACCAAGACCCCCCGAGACAACACTTTGGACCTTCTCAGCCCCCAGTGACACCACCCAGGTTCTGTGACCCCCCTCAGGACCCCCCAGGCAGGGCTACCCCCCACTCTTCCCCCCCTCCCCCAAACTCTGGGCTGCCCTGTTCCTTCTGCTTGTCTGATCTGGGCCGGGACGCCTGGGTTCTCTGCTCCTGCTTGTTTGGGAAGGATTGCTTGGCTGGGCCCAGACGCATGGGTTCTGTCAGTGATGGGAGAGGCTGTGGGGCTGGGCCCGGACGCCTGGGTTCTCTTTTCTCTGGCTGGATGCTGCGACCTGTCCTCTTCCACTCGCATCTGTCTGCCTCTGTCTGTCCCCTGCCCTGTGCCCCCCGCTGCCCCCACCCAGGAGTTCATTCGGCACCGACTAGAGGAGGAGCAGCGCCAGCTCGAGGTCCTCCAGCAACAGCTGCTGCAGGAGCAGGCCCTGCTGCTGGTAACGCCCCTGGCTTAGGCCCTGCTCCTTGGTCTGGCCCCACCCACCTTGCTAGAGCAGCCTGGGGGTGGCTCTCAGAGCTCTGGGGGGTGGTGCTGGCTGGACACCTGGGTTCCTTTTGTAGGGTATAGGGACCCAAACACCTAGGTTCCTTGGGTGTGGAGGGGTCTGGATGCCTGGGTTCTCTGGAGAGCTGGGCCAGGATGCCTGGGTTCCATTTTGGGGGACTGTGGGGCCTGGACACCTTGGTCACCTGGGGGTACATGGGCCTGGACACTTGGGTTCTCTTTAGGGGCCTGGGTCCCCTGGAGGCATGTGGGCCCAGATGACTAGGTCCCTGACCCCCCTCCATCCCCCGCCCCCCCAGGAGTACAAGCGGAAGCAGGTGGAGGAGCAGCGCCAGGCAGAGCTGCTCCAGTGCTCCAGCAGGAGCACGCCTTCCTTAGCGCCCTGCAGCGCCAGCACCAGCAGGGGGCGCCACCTGCTTCGGCCCGCCCTGGCCAGGTGCGCTGGGGTTCTGCGGGAGGACAGGGGACCTGGATGCCTGGATTCTGTGGGAGGGAAGGCGGGGGCTGGGGGGTGAGAGCCGGGATGCTGGGAGCCTGGGTGCCTAGGTTCTCCAGGCCTGGGTGGGCCGCACCGGCAAAATGCCTGGGTCGCTGCAACACCTCCCTCCCTCCTGCAGGGGGATGAGCGGGCGCGGCTGAGCAAGCAGAGCTCCCCTGTGGCGCCAGCAGGGGCGGGGTCCATGCCTGAGGCCCCCCTTCCTCCTGGCCTCACCCCTGCTGCCCAGACTCCCCCCATGCAGCGCCCAGTTGAGCCCCAGGAGGGGCAGCACAAGGTATGGGGGTGGGGGCAGACGCATGGGTTCTCTGGGGTGGGGTTTGGGGTGCCTGGACTCCTGGGTTCTTTCTTGGCTCGGGGAGTGGGGGGCAGCAGGGCCTGGAGGGGAGTGAGCTCCTGTGGGCCTAGCCACTTCTCTGACTCCCTCTCCCCTTGCTCTGCCCAGAGCCATGTGGCGCACCGTGTACCGCTGAAGCCATATGGGGCACCGGTGCCGCGGTCCCAATCCCTGCAGGAGCCACCGGCCCGGGTGGGAGGAGCCCAAGGTAGGCTTGCCCGGACACCTGGGCTCTCTGGGAGGGAGGGGGCTGAGGGTGAGAACGGGAGGGGTGGGAGCCTGGATGCCTGGGTTCTCTCTAAGCTGAGATTGCGCCCCCCCAGGTACCACAACGAACTTCATCCATCGCCACCGCCCTCAATGCTGGCAGTGCTGGGGCCAGTGCCCGCCCCACCCATGCCATCCGCGCCAGGTACCCCCATCCCCTGGATGCCTGGGTCCCCTTTCCCACTGAGCCCCTCGCCCAGTTCTAGCTGCAGCCAGCTCTGGGGAGGGCCAGGCTGGGTAGAACAGTCCCCAGGGCAGCCCTAACTGCTGCCTTCCCATCATGCCCTGCAGCAACCCCGACCTGCGCCACAGTGACCCTGGGTGGGAGCGGACGGACGATGGGCACCTGCCCCAGGCTGGGTCCCTGGAGCGCAGCCGTGGCAGAGGTAAGGCTGGGGGCTTGCAGGGGTCATAGACGATCAGCTTAGGGGTTATGGAGGTTGTGGATTATATAGGTAATGGGTTGGTGGGTCACAGGGAAGCTGAGGGAGTTCATGAGGTCACGGGTTAGAGGGCCACGGGGGGGGGCTTTGGAAGGGGGTGAGGGGGTCATGGGTAGCTGGGGAGTTAGCAGGGCTGTGGTCATGCGCTGTGAGTTTGGGTGGGGTCACTGGGGCTTGGGAGGGTTCTGAGAGATTGGTGTCACAGGGCTTGTGGGAGTCTTGGGCTGGGGGTCACGGGGTGTAAGGGGATGAGGGTCACAGGGGTGCCTATAGATTTAAGGGAGGGTCACAGGGGTTAATATGGGGTTGTGGGGGTCACAGGGAGCTTGAGAGGGGGCTGGGCTCTTGCTAACACCCCCTGTCCCCGTCCCCCCAGCCCCGCCGCCACTGCGGCCCCCTGGCTCCCCTGTCCTGGCACCTGGTACCCCCCCGAAAGCTGAGGACCCGCGCTCCCGCCCTGGCCGGCCTGCTGTGAGTACTGCGGGGGTGGGCAGAGAACCCAGGCATCAGGCCCCCAGTCTCCCGCAGAGAACCCTGGTGTCCAGGTTGGGGGAGGGTCGTTGGTGCCACCTCTAACCCTGTCCTTTCTCTCCCCTTGGTGCCACCCAGAGCTACAAACGAGCCATCGGCGAGGTCAGTGCATGGGGCCCCACTACACATGGGTGCTCGAGCTGTGGGGGATGGCATGGGGGGATCCCAGGAGACAGAGGGGGTGGGGGGAGGGCCCTGGCGTCTGGGCCCCCTTGGTTTTTATCCTGCAGTGTCTAGAGCTGGGGAGGACTCAGGTATTCGCCTGGGCACTGACCTCCCCCGGGCCCCCCAGGCGGCAGTGGCGGCGCTGCGGGAGCGCCCGGAGGAGGCGCCACGGCCCCCCCAGAAGGCAACAGATTATTCATCCTCCAGCGATGAGCCTGGCTCCAGCGACGAGAGCGATGGCGACAGCCCCACTGCACCCCCTGCCAGGTACAACACCCC